TGCTAATATTCACAATTCTCCCAATGTATTTTCTGCTGTGCAAAATAAAAGCTCGAACGTTCAATTTCGCTCAATCATTCGCTCAATTTAAACGAATTGTTTTCATGCTCAGTTTTCTTCGTCTGCTTTTTATTTATAATGTGAATAAATAGCCGATATTAACCTAGTTCCCTCAATTGTTACACATCTGCGTCGTCATTAGACATTTACCTTTTTCCAGATGAATTGAGAAAAATGTTTTTTGAATTCCTTTATTTTCCGTTCTTCGATGATCCACAGAAACACTCGACAAACAACAAACAAATTGTGAAAGTGAAATCTTTCAGGCGTAATTTTCTTTCGGAAAAATCGACATCATAAACCACTTATAGTTACCGCATTTTATTTCAGATCCTGCCTCAAAAATATAATGGAATGTCTGCGTAATATGTCAGTCGGAATATATTAGGAAATAAAGGTCCATCTTTATTATTTTCCCCCTTAAACGCACTTCAATTTCATGTTAATTCATATACTTCATTTTCGCTCATCATTAACAGTCTGTCGTATTCAATTCAGAATTTCCCTCAACTTTTATATAAACGTATTTTCCAAGTAGGGTATTACATGCAAAATAAATTCTCGCAAACTCTGTTTGTTTTCTGTCAGGTATTAGATAGTAGGTAAACATATGCTCTAATAATTTTAGAAATTTTCTCTGACTTGTCCCTAAAGAGTCAAGACAGCTGAAAAATTGAGAGCGAGCAAACGAAATTTTCTTCGGGCGGAAAGCCGAATAAGGTAAAGCCTGGTAAAACGTGATTCAAACATCGAATTTTTTTCATGTGGTACAAACGACGTGAAAAATTTCATTGTTACACAGTTTGCGTTTCATAATTCAAATGTATCTGCATGCATGAATAGGTATGATAAAATGGGCTTTCATTACTTAAAGTTGATATAAATAGATAAGTTTTTTCAGTTAATGAACTTACACTAATTAATTTAAATTCAGAAGGGAGGTACATGAAAGAAACTAATTTTATTGGGTAACTTCAAAGGGTAATCCATCATAAGCTTATATGAAGTTTCTCATACTGCATGGTAACATACTATGTGTATTAGATAAAAAAAATTTAATCGATAAATACCTAAATATCTCTTTTACTTTACTAGACGTTCATTTGCCTGGTGCTATTAATTTTTAGAAAGCCTTTGTATTTTGTTTTTTACTCTTACACATCACAAATCTCATTTAAAATTCGGGAAATTTTTAAACGATTTTTCGTAATATAATGGCATCATAAAATAATTATCGCAAACTGAGAATGAACAGACCGTCCGTGGTTAAAATCATAAAAATTCTACACATTCATCACTGATTGAGTTGACATTTTACGAGCCACAGCAAAAAGGATTATGTATAATGATAGAATAAATGGAGAAAAACATTATCGGTATTGACTTCAGCGAGTTATTTGATTGATTGCCCATAAATATCTTTATCTAGTTTATCTAGTTTAAAGCTATATTTTATGATTGAATAATAAGCAGTGCTGAAAATATACATAGATGTTATGTATAGATGTAGTTAATTTTATAACTTATTTTATACTTATCTAACTTACCTGAAAGAACGTATTCATTTATTATAAAAATTTTATGAATTTAATATTTAATTAAACTAGGTACATTTTCTCTTCAGTTGTTTTATTCTTTTTACGTTCAATAGATAGATATTTCTTGCGATTCCTTTGAAACAAATTCTTAATTAGTGAAACTCTTATTCTTTCTCTAATTTTAGTTGTTTTTAATTCCGAAACGATGTCAATTATTTCAGAAAGGAAACATTAAATAAAGTCTCTTCATTAAATTTATTTGTAAAACAGAAATGCTTTTGTAGGTAAATATTCCTAGTTTACATGAAGGATACTCCGCCAACTCCTTTAGATAATTTGCCTTAAGGGATTTTCTGTTTACTCAACCGCGCCTTCGATGTAATCCCTTTATTATATTTTCCTTGTCATTGCAATAAGAAATTCGGATACATTCATTTCCATTACCTTACTCATAACCAAAGATTGTATACTATTGTGTAAAATTGTGTACAATAAAAAAATAAATTTGATTGTAAGTACACAGCATAAAAACTGTGTTATTTAAAAAAATGAATTCACACAATGGTGAACGAGACAAACATTTTTGCGTGCAATTATTGTTGATTTTTCATTCGTCTCTTTCCATTGTATCCTCCCAAAATTTGTTAGTAATTTCTAAAAACAATATTTTTTATGTTCGTGCTGCTTATCATGTCAATTTTGCGTAATATGGGCTATTATAACGTTACAAATGTAATTAAACGTTCACGGTAATGTCTATTATTCATCAATTATTATAAAATTGTATAATTTTGTTGTCAGCCAAGGAATTATAAGCAATTCATGCTATTTTTGTAAACTTTTCTATTGAAAAAATACGGCAATGAATTATTCTTATGTAAACCAAGTACAATATGTTTTTATGATAAAAAGAAATTGCAACGTGCCTTTAACAAACTCATCTTTTGTCAAATATGTCATACGAATGCATGTAATAAAATAAGCCACGTTCTTAAGCGACCATAAAATGTGATTTTTTTAATATTCTCCTTTATTTGATCTCATTCGAAATAGGAAAAGTGTATAGCATTACGTTCGTACCTACTATAGAAATATCTAAGTTAGGCATTTGCCATAAAACGTGGATACGATGTCAGCTATTTACGTGTCGGTAGGTAAGGTATATTTGGGCCATAAAAGGAACGAGATTGTTAAGCATTTTCAAATAATCGAAAACTAGATCGTTTTATATTTCTAGAAAATTTGCTACCCTTTTAGTCATATTTCCTTTCCTATTGTATTGGAAGCTTTCATAAACTCATCAAAGCTTTTTTATGATTTTTTTGGTCGAGTTTATTAAAACGATTTTATTGTTTGCATTGTATTAATTTCTTTACAGAACAATTACGTTAATAGAAAAATGAACGAAGAATAAATAATCGATACAAGCCATATCTCGACAAAGAGCTTTTTTATCCAGATTCTGGAATTTTAGTAGAAACAATATTCCCCGAAAATTCCGCGGGAAGCAGTGTGCAGATAAAAGATAAATTATCACGAAACGTGGCGACGAGGTGTTATATGCTGAATGTAAAACATAATTGCCTTATAATTTCCATGCCTATCTTTACGACTGCTGATCGTCGAAAGCTCTAATGACGCTCACCCGCTTATCGTTCTTTACATCATAAGTGAACCAATCTGGATATTCAGGGGCAGGGAATTATACGTAATAGCGCCTATTTCCGTTTGATGAGTCTTCGGTATTTTGGGTTTCTCCTAATGTACCCACTGTTTTGGAAGCTGTAGTTAAATCTATTGTGGATTTGCAGGTTCGATTTTAACTGACGACTTGACAGTAAACTCGTTAGGGTTAAAATGGGCAGTGAAATTGCGTTTTTTTTCGTACCAATTAAATTCAACTTATTGGATTTTCAATTGCGCGGGTTTGACAGAATAGGATTAGGTAAAACTAGGTGGTCTCGCACGACTGCCGTATTTACATGTTACTTAATCGCATGGAATTTTAAAAACACTTGGTTTTTACGTAAATGAATCCATTTGTTAAATTACATAGGCACTTGAAAAGATATGAAAAAAATAAATTAATTTGCAGATCGATTTCATTATCACACAAATGGCTTGGGTTTTAATTATAACTTAACGTCCTTTGGAATCGTTTCTATGGAAATTGGTACGAAATAATTAACGAATAAGAAAGTGGTCTTTAGAGATTCCTTTTTAAATTGTGACAATTTACGATTATAATGATGAGCACTTATATCGTTATTTCAATTTTATAATTAATAACAAAGGGATTAAGCAACATACACAAACTGCTACGTTACGAATCTCCTAAAGTAGTACTTGTTGATTGAAAACTATTTCAAACAAGATTAAATCAATTAAACAGCCTAAGTGAAATACTTGTTGAACGAATTTTCATCAGATATGATTATTTTTAGAGCGACCGCGAACATCAATTATTTTTCATAAGTTTACTTAATTGTCTCGTTTTTAAAATCATTGGAGGTATGTTGTAAAGACTACGATATTTAATTAATTTGCTGTAAAAAATATTAATCTGTATAGATGGAAAATTAATGAAAATTTGTGTAAACAGAAAAAAAGTTATCAAAAGTAAAAATATTCTGTTAGAGTATGAAAATTATTCTCGTCTGATCATATACAGTATTGGAAATAAATTCCAACTCAAATATAACCGATACCAAAGCGCGGAGTGCGGTCCAGTGGAACAATTAAATTTATTAGAATTTATCGCGACGTTCTATTGAAATGTACACTGGTAGACTAAATTTAGACTTTAGCCAGCTAAGAATTTAACGTTGATTTTCCTTACTATGCGCGAATTTATTTACAATACTGTATACTCCCTACATATCTACGTCTTAACACTAACTTGGATACGACTTAGATACTTTTATTGTTTAAAATAATAAAAATGCATTATATGCAATTTAATTCAGTACTAAAAGGATGTAATCATTCTCATTACGTAAATGTATGTAATAAATAATAATTTACATCGAAAAATATCTGCATGTGAACCCGTTAAAAATCACTTCCACTCGAGAGGACGTGATGAATAAAAGTAACGAAAAATTTAACGCTTTTGCACGCCAAAGAAGAATATAAAAAATACAATGGGCAAAAAATACCATTTCCGTTTTATCCCGAATCCTCGTTGATTTATTAATATCAAACCAGATTTTCTTTGCGTTTCTGCACCATTAACAATGAAAAGTTGAAGCTTCCGATGATACTTAAAGGTTAGCCACATTCAGTTGACCTAGCCTAGGAAAGTTGTAAAATTATAAACTGAATAGAAGATACACCTTAACAAATAAATTCTAAAATTATTAAATATAATGATGGATATATTTAAATTTAAATTGCTTGTACATTCTTTTTACTTTACCGTAATATCTATTATTTTTACTCTTATTTCACATCGGCAAAATAGAGAAATTTATAAATTTTTAAATAGGAACATACTAGGTAAAGAACATATTCAATTTGTTATGATTGTATTCTGCCTGATAATCCATAATCCAACAAATCAAAAAACAATTGTTTGGGCAGTTCCTTAGGGAGTGATTGTATTCTTTCAAACATAGACTCATAAAAATCTTCTTTAAATACTTCGAACTGGTCGTCCAATCGCAATTCTTTGTATAATTGATATATTTTGATTTGAGAGTCGTTATCGCTTTTGCCGTAGTGATTTTCAAGTACGAATCGTTGTTCTCGTGATCCTCGCTCATAAGCTTGAATCGCCAACCAAGAATTTTTTCCCTCGGCCACATCCGTGCAATCTTTTTCTGAATTCGTATTAAAGACGCATTTGACATCATCCTAAAAGGAAGCTTATGAGTTATGTGCTTTAGATATAAAGTGTATGTTTATATTTCGTAATAATAATTTTTTAAAACTTATACCTCTATTTGGACGTATCTTGCAAGCTCTTTCAAAAATTCTTTGGCTGTAACATGAATAAATGGATCCACGATATTAGTGAAATACATTGCGCAGATTACGCAGATTATCGTTATAGGATATGCTTTAGCAAAGTCTAGCTTAAGTTCCTGCACTTTATATTTTTTACTATCAATACAAAGAGCCACCATACACGTGGAGTAATTAACGTAGTATTCCTTTAATATGTTCGAAAATTGCGGATGCGTTCGAAAGTGATTCAAGAGCAAAATGTGGCCCCCGCTTAACAGGAATGAAGAGTCGCAAATTGCACATTCTACTCCAACGTCGGGTTGTTTATACCAAGTGGGTCTTAAATATCTGACATTAGATTTATCTATTATGTCGTCATCTATTATCATGGAAACCTCAGCCTAAAATTGTCAAATGTAAATGTATTAGTAAATGGTAGTAAAATTGTCAAATGTAAATGGAGTAAATGTTTTAATAGACTTAAATAGATTATTTTAACTTATTCTTATTAACTTATTATCAATTATTTATATGTATCAATGATTTACATACCAGTTTTATAGACCAAGCTAAAATAGCTGCTTTCTTTAAATTTTCATCTATTTGAAGGGCAGGATTTTCAAATTCCCTGTACGAACGAATAAAAAATAGAGGTACCGATAAATACAGATCTACAAGATTTAACACATGGTTTAGTAGATTTCTATATCTTTCTTTTAAATTCGGTTGATGTCTGTGATAAACCAACTGTTCGTCTATAATTTCATCCATAACTGAAGGAAGCGTTAACTGTAAATACTTGGATTCTACAGAAAGATCTATGTGTTTTCTTCTATTTGCGTAATTAGAGCTGTAATAAAAATGTAATAATATTATAAACAATAGAAAAAGTACAAATTTACCCATTTCTGATTCCAACTTTAGAGAGAACATCTTTTCCCGAAGAATTCGGAAGAATTTTGAAGGTTCCCAATAATGGATACTTGATTTTACGGCAATTACTATATAAAATTGATGTTAACATTGTTTTTCACAAAGATTTGACTTGATTAATATATATCTATTTGCAAAGTGGAATCGAAATTTAAAATTTTACCAATTATTCATCATGTTTAATTAAAGTTGCAAATTAAAAATAGCTGATTAGAAATTGCAAAAACATATGCATTGAAAAATTAGGCGTACTCGTGTAATACATAACATACTTCGTTTAAACAAAATAATTATTTTTGTTAAAGCAAACTATATATTATCAAATTTTCTGTTCGCATATCAATATTTGCATAGTAAAGTTTGAATAATAAGTAAATAACAAATTTTATTGGTAATAAATGTTACCAATTTGATTTCCACTATTTTAACATTAGGTGAAAATATTTAATATAGGGTATATTAATAATTATTAATACATAGAAATATTAGTATAGAACGTTTCTGACGTTTTATGTGGACGCAATAGACACAAATAGAATACAATAACAAGTAAACAAATCCAGTAATGAAAAAAAGCACGGACCTTACGAAAGTTCCATTTACGTGCTAGGCAATCATTTCCTCATAGGTTCAGTAACACTATTTAGGAAAAATGGATTGTAATGAATGAACTGCGGCACGAACGAGGAGTGCCCGAAACTTGTATATATTGCGACTGTTACAGGAAACAATCGCATTAATTACTTTAGTTCGAATGTTATTTTAGCAAAGTTGCCTACAATATGTATTATGTTCGGAATTTGTGTAGAGAAAACAATAAAGTTTCTGAGGAATCTTGCAAATGCAATTTTAAGAGCGCGCCGTTACAATGCAGATATCCGAGGAGAATCCACGCAATTTAAATATTAAAAATAGTGTATCCATACTTGCAAAAAGTGTTTGTAAAATTCTTACCTTAGCAGGTACACTTAGATAATTTTCATTGTTTTGTTAACAAAACGAAAACGCTTACTATTCGGTGCGAAAAGCCGAAAACGATTAAATTCTTACACAGAAAGAGATTAAGTTACCGGCTTCTCACCCAAGATTGACGAGGGGTGACAGCAGCGATTCCGACACCGCGAAGAATTTTCGTCTGCTCCACCGAAGGAAACAATAATTAAATTTATATACCTCATCCTAACAGCAGTTTATAGTTGGCAAGTTTGTTTAGGCTGGGAAAATCGTTGGGATCAGAATGTCAATATTAAAAACCGTACAGTTACAAGACTGGGCAATTTTTGTTTTGCGGTGTAGAAAAGTACTTGTTTAATAAAACGTAATAATCAAACAGAATTCTCGTTGTCGTTGAAATCGATCCCAACTTCAACCTAGAATATTCTCTTGTATTTTGTCACCGGTCGGGATAACGTGGGACTGATTCCCCTTCTCGCGGTCTTTGTAAGCATTTGTAAATACGGAATATCTACCTTTTAATCTCCTGGGAGTCGCAATTTACGGCGCCTGTGTTGTAACATTACATCGCTCTTTAATTTGAATAGGATTTACTTCTATACCTATATTATGAGTAGGCAAATAATGTTAAGTTGCAGAAATTCCATTATGTACCCAAACAAATAGGTAGAATTCAGGTAGCAGCAATCCTTTAGTCCTACTCTAAATGATGACACTTTGTAATTATATACATATTTAGTGGCTTCTCTACCGCACCTCCGATCGTCTACCGCAACCCAATCTCCACCTAATATTATTTCTATTAAGCCGCGTTTGAGCGTAATTAATAAATTCCAAATAAGACCACAGGGATGCAGAATAATGAACGATTATATTCTACTAAATCCGAACAAAAATGATCCTGGTAACGTCGAGAACGCGTCAGATGGCGCAACTTTCCTGCCACAAAATGTAATATCATATGAAATGTGTTACCGTAGTTTTGCTCACTTAGCAAACTTGCTCCAGATTTGTCTCTATTTACTGCGCTTTTTTTATCCACTCTCCTCAGCCACTTGACACTTACAAGCCACGTATTAGGGTGGCAATCGAGCCGGGATTGCTGGATTTAAAATATAGTCTGGTGCGATACGAGGATTATGGAGACTTGCTTCGAATTTCATGTCCCGAGACGTGGAGAGGTTATATTTTTAAGAAAATATACGCGCCCTCGCGAAATATTTATCTTATCACGCCGGATTTCTGGAAGAACCGCTGAAGATGATGCGGATTTAAATTTTTGTTTTGCCTCTTTTTATGTAGTGATAAATGGAGTGATGGGTTTACAGATCGCTGTCTGGTTTATGTTAAAAATTTAATTTTGTGGAATGTTCATCATTTTCCATACTATGCATAACATTCAATTCTAAGATTTTCCTTTGTGTCCGATAAATTTTAAAATTCAAAGCCTTGTTAACCTGTTCAATGATCGTAGAGTGACCGACATTAAGGAAGGACACTTTAAGGACTTTAGATTTAAGCGGCATGCTGTACCGTAGTATAGACAGGGATTAGACACGATTCGTGTCCTGAATACAGTTTACGAGGCAACATCTCGGAATTCTCAGATATTGTTTAAATTTAGAACGCTTACATTTATTATTTTTTACCGTAGATATTTGTTTTCACGCAGCTATTTTAAAATCGCGTTTGTTGTACGATGAACTTTTGTTTAAACAATAAAAGATATTTATGAGTTCCATTGTAAAACAGTAATTTTTTTAACGATTTTAGTGGCAGGTTTTATTGTAGTACAATGGGAATTATAAAATCAAAAATGCAGTAGATTAAGTGTATATCCTGTCAATCGCAACGTTTTATTGCAATCGACGTCATTTCGATACGGGTCGCATTAAATCCCTCATTTAGTTTTGTTTACTTCCACTCGACAGCGAACGGAAATGTGGAAACTGATTTTAATTTTCCGGTGTCAGACAAAGGCTGACCACTCATTAGAGAGGAAATAGGGTGAATGATACACCCTCCCTGGAGATAAAACAAATTAAAAGTTTACTAGGTCAGGAGTTTATTGAAATAAAGTGTCTCGGGAATTAATGGCCCAGGATGTAAGCCGGATTTTTCCACGGGCTTTACTTGAATTTATTGCATCAATATTGTTATAGGGCGGGTTAATTGATTTTGATTTCAATGGTTTTACATAGTGATCGTTTGCTTACGTTGATGTAGAGTCAATAATTATTTGTGATAAGGAACATTGTTTCCTAGTGGATCATTTGCAGACAGATTATAGGTATCTGCTATTTTTATATGAAAAAATTATAATTGAAAACCCCTAAAAATCATAGGTATAACTATACAAAAAGACTTCTTGAAACATACTAAATGATTCATTTATCTTAAAACTACTAGGTATATATTATCCTTTATAAAGGATGGAGACCATTAGAAAGAAAATTCATTGGTCGATATATAAAACGTTCCGATTTCCGTTTCACCTAATTTAATAAAGTCCTTCTAAATTTATTGGTTTACCTAAAAAGACTTTAGTTTATCGATCCCTATAATTTTTCGAAGTTCAAAAGAGAGTTTAAAATCAGGTAAAACCTACATTGCTATATAAAAAGAAAACTAGCGAGTAATTCAATTCGTTTTTGTGTTAGATAAACATTAGAAAATTTGATAAATAGCTTTCCAAAATAATGAAAATAAATTCATCCCACATGAGAAATATTTGATTAATAAATCAAAAATATCAATTTTTCTTAAAAACTCATAACTTTCAAAACAATCTGTATTTGTCGGATAAATTCCTGGAAATATATAGGTAGAAAGGAAACGTAGGTAGGTATAAGATTTTCAATATCCATACTTGTCGAAAATGGGGAATTATTATTCTTTAGAAAAATATACTGAGAAGTTTATTGAGTGTTCCCAAATATAGACTGTTATGTTTATTTGACGTAGTTATTGTAAATGCTTCCGGATATATCCAGAAAGAAAAAGAAATTTAGGTAGATATAATATTTTCAATATTCATACTTACATATGTATATCATATTTACATTTTTCAAATGCATTTTTCATAATGTACATTTAAATTTAAACTGGTGAATAGTAAAAAATCACCTACAACGTTTGAGCAATTCCTTTCTCAAATTAGTCGCAGTTTTTCTAATAATTAATGTCCTATTTTCTCTATCCTGAGTCAGCAACTCGAAAGAGAGCATCAGTTCAATAGGTTTTTTTCCTATCAAAACTATACGGAGACCGTCAGATAATTGGGTCAGTAAGGAAATAAAGTTAGAGAGGAAATAAGAAACAAAGAAGTAATTAATTTTTTGTAGACAGTGGTTTCGTTCGAATGGCGTATTTCCACCGGCAAAAAGATTATTTTCGACGAATTTTACGAAAAAGGAAGGTAATAAATCTCATATAACATGTTTTCGAGCTAGTAATCACGGTATTATTTTTTAATTTCCTTGGTTATATGATAAAGTACCCTTTTTTATCATTTTATAACATTTATAACATTTTCAAATAATTTTTTAATCTTGAATTAAATTTACAGTGACAAATTACGTTTGCTAGCCATATTTATAATTTGTAGGTTATGTATATATTAAAGAGACGGAAAATCTAAACAATGTAAATATAGTTTTTTTAACGAATTTTGTTATACAACGTAATGTAATTTTCTAAAAGAAATGTTTATTGTTTTAACCATAGTTGTTAGTAATTATACTTTTATATCGATCATCGTTGAATTAGTAAAAGCTCATTTCAACCTTTAGCTGTTTAAATAGAAGCTTATTTATTAATTAATGGGTTTTAGAAAATATAATTCAAAATAAATGTAGAAAAACTTTTAATAGAACTACCGGCGTTAGTAAATTTTTTAAAGTAACTAAAATGTCTATATCTCCAATAATAACCCTTTTGAATATTACCACCACTTTTTGACCAAAAAGTTTTAAGTAGGTACGTAGTAATTAAATATATTCTCTGTTATGTAGGAAGTTTAAAACATCAATCAAACGACTGATCTGGCTTCAATTAGAATGTGGTGTATATTTAATCGCCCATTGAAATTAGAAAGGACCGTAAAGCATGTGATTTGAAAAGGAAACTAATTCCCGCCAAGTATGGCGGTTTCCAAAGACTTAAATTT